CATTTGGAATGACTGTGATTGTCTTATTTCGTCATGTAAGATGGTAAATCCCTGACAATGGAATTTCTAAAATAAATGCCACCAAGTCATGTCTTAGAACACTAATTTCCTAGTATTTTGCTGAAGATAGCTGAAACTATCTTCAAAAGAGATATTGCTTCAAAGTTTTCTTGTTACATATTTGGTTTTGTTATCAGGGCAAATTCATAAAAAGAACTGGATAAGTATTCTCTTCATATTAAATTGTAGGTAAGAAGCTGTATGGAGTTGCTATTATGTCTTCTGCAAATGTTTAGTGAAATATGCTAACAAAATTACATGGAGCTAGTTTCCTTTCTAAGAAGGTTTTTAAGAACACATTCAAATAAGATACACAGTATTCATTCAAGTTATCAATTTTTCAAGTTTTTTCTTTTTACAGGTATTTTATGTAATTTAGGTATTCCATCTCATCTACTAAATTTATTGTTAGAGATATTCATATTCTGTCTAATTTCAAAGTCTGAAGACCCACAGTGAATCTCTTCTTAGAGCCCAAGTAATGGTGACTTGTGTCTTTTTTCCTTTTTCAAAGTCTGGCTAAAATTCACAAAGAAAATAATTAATTTGCCCAGAGCTGGTGAAATGGCATGCAGAAAAAAAACGTGCAAGCTGCCAACAAGCCTGACCATGTCAGTTTGACACCCAGTACCCACATGGAGGGAAGAAAACTCCTACATGTTGCCCTCTGACCGCTACATGCACAACACATATATACACATACAATAATAAACGAAAACAAGCTATGATACACAAATACAATTTAGGAATCAAGTACAACAAACAAGACAAAAGATAGGCTATGGAACGTCACATTCTAACCAAGATAGAGCCATTGCAATACCAAGCTTCCAGGAGCTGAAGCCCTAGGCCTGCACAAGTGAGCTTGCCCTGCCAAAAGTGAGCCATGAGACCCACTGCTTACAGCTGGACTGTGGGCTACTGACAGAATCTGGGAGAATGGGGAGGGAGTCACTGCCTTCGGTTATGTGCCCCAGGCTCCAGTGGGTAGGTTCAAGCTCAGGGCCACATGAGTGGTCCTGGTTAAATTCAGTGAGTCACAAAATAAAACAAAAAATTTAAGTTTGTAAAAAGAGATTTGTAGAAAAAGGAGGTGGAAGGTAAGAGGAAGATATGAGAGGGTAGAAGAAAAATTATAACACATCATACCTACTTTTATGATATAAATTTTATGATATAAAATTATTAATATAAAGGTTTGTTCAAATTGTTTCATGTATATTTCAAATCCCCAAAAAAACATTTATTCAAGGACTATTAAGGGCAACCTGTTGGCAGGATGCTAGAAAAGAAACACGTAGCCCTCTGGATGTTGTAGTAGGTTAGAATTTTATATATCTGAAGCCTTGAGTCATACTATATCATTATGGCCAAAGAGTTACTGCTCACAATATGATTTATAGTGTGTGTGTGTGTGTGTGTATATATATATATATATATATATATGTATGTATATATGTGTATGTATATATATACACATATATATGTATATGTATATATATACACATATATATGTATATATGTGTGTGTATATATGTATACACACATCTGTGTGTGTGCGTTTGCCTAAGTTTCTGCAATTAAGGTAGCTATAGTCAGTCACACAGGCACTGCCTACTCTCTCATGAACACAAAGCAATGGACACCAAGACTTTAATAGACGTATCAGGATTCTTATGAGCTGAGCCTCATGTTCTGTTTCTCTCTGATCATTTCAATCTGTACCGTTCTGAGCTAAAACAATCCAAGTACAAGTAGCTTTCATCTTCTATTTATTCTGGGGTTTCTTATCCATCAGACTTTTTTTTTTTTTTAATGTGAAGGCTTCTATGACTGATCTAAGACAACTGTCCCTATAGAATATAAACATCAGTGCATGTATTAGTTGGTTTTCTGCTGCAGTGTAAACTTAGAGGAGAAAGGATGTTTCAGTTTACAGTTATGAAGAGGATGTCCACAGCAAGAAGCAGAGTGAGAGGGCCACCCAAAGTGACAGATTTCCTCCAGCAAGGTTCACCTCCTAAAAGTCTTGTAATATTCCCAAAGGACCAAGTTCAAACCCTAGAGCCTATGGGTGACATTTCTCACCCAAAACATCCTAGTGCCATTAACCTCCCTTTAAATATTGCTTAAGAACTGTATGTATTCTATTATTTAATTCTAAGTCAGTTAAAAGTATTTTCTAATTTACCTTGTGATTTCTTTTTTGATATATTAGTCACATTTAAATGCTAAAAAAAAATAGTTACTATGTATGTCTTTTGATTATTTCCAATATAATATCTGTTGTCTAAAAATGTGCTTTGCATTCTTTAAAATTTTTATACTGAGTCTATACTTTTCTTTATTTAACATATATTCATGGCCCAGAAGAGTACTAAGCATAGAGAATAGATTTTTACAAACTTTCTCTTCACTCTTGGTAAGGTATTAGCATGCTATCTTTTCTTCCCTCCTTAAATCCTAACTTCTGTGTCTTTTAGCAGGTTTTTTGTAGTCAATGTATACTTGTAACTTTTATTTGCCAGTTTTTAATTCTCCACTTCTCAAATCCTCTTGAGTTGATCTTTCTCATTGTAAGTTATGTGATCTTTGATATGGCAGACTTTAAACATATACATATATACTGATATATATATATATATATATATATATATATATATATATACAAAGCACATTCTCAGACAACATATATATGCATATTTACATAAATGACAGCCATCATTGCATTAATAAAATATGATAATATTATGTAATATTATGATATTATGTTCAGTAGGCAGCAGACTGCATGAACGCAGGTTTGGTCATCTCTGTACATATGATGGCTTCAGTAGCATAAAATGTAAAAAGGTATAACTCTGGACCCCACAGAATTTTAAAAAAATACAGGAGACTGTTTTAAAAGAGAAACGAATAGCAGGCGTGACTCACTTAGGCCCCTGATAACATGGAACTGACCGGTGGCTTGGTCGTCTTGTGGACCTCCCACAAGCGGCCTCGGTTCATGATGGATCACATTCCCTGCGCCGAGCTGTGTTGCCTCGCCTGGCTTCAGTGGGAGAGGATGTGCCAGGGTGGGTTGGTACTGGACGCGGGGGTGATGTGGGTGACAGGGAAAGACAGTGGGGTGGCGGGACAGAGGAGGGAGGGGGCTGCGTTTGGAATGTAAAGTGAATACATTTAAAAAATTAAATAAGAGAGACAGACACACGCGTGCGCGTACACACACAATCTCTCTCTTTCACACACACAAAGAGAGAGAGAGAGATCCATCCTGTGTATCGGTAAAAGATGCTGTAAGATTTCAAAGATGGCTACTACATTTACAACCATGAAGTCACTGTCTTCGCTGACAGTCTCAGTGTTAAAGATGTGATATGTAGGAAGGCACGTAGATAAAGTCTTTCTAGAATTTTCTTCCACCTTGGAAGGACAAGTCTTCAAAGTATTCTGCTGTTAGGATTCAAGTGTATGCGCCTGCGCGCGAACCCAAGTTCTCTCTGAAACACACACACACACACACACACACACACACACACACACACGCGCGCGCGCGTGCGCGCGCGCGCGCCTACATCATATACGTACAAACACCCGTGAATGCGCGCATGCTCCAACACATGCGTCCCATGCTTTTTTATACACACACACACACACACACACACACACACACACACACTCATAGAGGCATACACACACGCCCACGCTGTCTTATACACACACACATACAATGCCCACAAGCACACAGCGCATGCGTACTACACAGCTAGCCTCTGGAGGGCAGATCTATGCTCTCAGTTAGAAATGAAGGTAGCTAATGATTATGTTATTTATTGATAAGTGGCTTTGTATAAGGTATTAACGTCACTAAGCCTGGTTTCTTAATGCCTGCGATCTTAAAACGGCACCTACTTATTGAAAGGAGAAAAGGAAAATTGCAGGTGCTCAGTAAAAATACTTTATGTGCATTTAACAAATAATTAAGAAATAAAATACGTGATTAATTAAACCTATACTTATATTTTCTAATCTTATTCGAGATTTTCAGGCACAACTGAATAAACACTGATTTTAATATAACACAGCAAATATATTACATTAATAATCACCTTTTAATGATAAACAGAGCATTTGTACCTCAAATTTGATTAACAACACTACCAAAATTTAAGGTTAACATCGCCGAATTTTGTAGGTATCATTTTATAAATTTTTTTTTAATTTTTTAAAATTAGCATACACGATACTAGATGTCATGACACTATTTTTAAAAGACTTTCCATCAAAGAAGCTTTACGGGAGCTTCTAAGAGAGACTACGCAGAAAAATTAAAAACGGACTCCGCTTCCTCCCCTCTGAAAATCCTGCACTTGCAAGACTCACTGTGTAACAAAATTTCATAGGAAAGGAAAAAAAAAAGAGTTACGTCTGCATAAATCGACCAATAAATCAGCGACAGCCCTTATAAATAAATAATAATCTAAATATTGTTTTAAAATTCTTCTGTCGTTTGAATGGATTTCAAACATCGCTTCAGGCCCTCCCCATCTCCCTCATAACCGACGATCCTCTCCCGAGAACTCCACGCAACAGGTGAGAAACCTGTTAGCATCTTTTCCTTTAAAAAGAAGGAAAACGGAGAGGAAACGTTTCCTCGGTAGCAAGGAAGACTGAGCAAGCATCGGATGCCCCGGGAGGCTCGCTCGGGGCTTTGGCGCGGCCCAAGGACCCGGTGGACAGAAGGGGGTGACTGAGCGGACGAGGCCCAGCGCCAGGCCCGCAGCGACCTGGAGGGAGCAGCCTGGACCAGCGGCGGGGGAGGAGGAACTCGCGGGCATCCCCCGGCCTCGCGCAGCCCCCGCGCAGCCCCCGCGCAGCCCCCTCGCCGGCCCTGACACCGGCGAGGCCCAGGCGCCCGCCCCCCGCGGGATACTCACAGCAGGAGCGACGGCCCGGCGGCGAGCGGGACGCCGGGAGGCAGCAGCGCCGCCGCCACCTCCGCGGCCGCGCGCTCTCAGTTACCGCAGTCCGCGCGCGCCGCCCGTGACGTCAGGCCCGCCGCTGCCGCCGTTCCCTAGGCAACCCGGTCCTGAGGCCCGGGAGCTCCCCGAGGGACCGCGGCCACGCCCCCACCGCGGCCGCCGCGGCGCGTCCCCCCACCGCTCGCGCCCGCGCGCCCTCGCGCTCCCGGCCGGTTGCGCGCGCAGCGGGGCTGGGGGCGTGGCCGCAGCGGCCGG